TACAGATTGGATTTGCATGAGAAGCTTAGCCAGATCCACAACACCTTCCATGTGTCTTAGCTTCGGAAGTGTGTGGCTGATGATTCAGCGGAGGTTCCTTTGGACGATGTTCAAGTTGATAATCACCTGAATTACATTGAGAGGCCAGTGGCGATCTCGGATCGGAAGACGAAGGCTCTACGCAACAAGTTGGTGACTTTGGTCAAGGTTCAGTGGCGGCATCGAAAGGGTTCTGAATGGAATTGGGAACCCGAGTCCGAGATGCGGGAGCATTACCTGGAGTTGTTCACAGCAGCGGACTTCGAGGACGAAATCTAGTTCAAGTGGGGGAGAATTGTAACATTCCGATGACGAGTTATTTTCAATCTTAACCCTAAGTATGAAGATTAATTGCATTTTAGCCCTTATGCATGGAAAATGTTGCAAAATGGCCCATAGTGGCATTTTTGTAATTTTGGGGACGAGCTCATGTGACATCCCCAAATTTCTCGGCCAGAAAAGACCGATTTATTTTTTTTTAAATAAAATCAGAGTAATCCTTTAAAAAGATGTTGCGGAATTTGTTCCCAAAACAAAACATGATAAAAGTTTATCAAAACCTTTCTTTAAGAAATGTATATTTTCATTTCATATCAAACATCGGGATGTCATGTTCCGATACAGATCAAAAGCATAAACAAGACATTATAAGTCTTACAACAGTTATTTACAACTACTGGCCTATAATCCAAATATCACTCATCATCATCCGACTATGCTCGGGGTCCACTACCTGTAATATAAAAAGTTGAGTGGGTCAGGCTTGGGAGCCAGGTGAGCATATAGGGTTTTCAACCCACAATAAATAATAAACTTATTAAGTTCTCAATCAACAATAAATTTATTAATTTCATCAACCAAAATAACCCTAATTACCCATTCTCATTATCCTCGCTTTACGTCCCTAAAACAACTATCACAAGGGACCTAGCCTAAGGATTTTCACTAGGGGTGACAACATTGCTTTCCTCAGCAATTTATGTCAAACAAGACATCCTAACATAAAACAACCAATAAGGTGACAACATTGCTTTCCTCTGCAATTTATGTCAAATAAGACAAACATCGGGGTGACAACATTGCTTTCCTTCAGCAATTTATGTCAAATAGGCACGAAGTCACATCGTCGCCATGTGCTAAGTCCATAGCTCTTATTTATCGACAGTATTTCCCACGGGAGTCCCCCCCCCCTCCCGCAATACATGTCAATGAGTTTTCCATGTGCTAAGTCCATAGCTCTTATATATCGACAGTATTTCCCACGGGAGTTCCCCCCCGCAATACATGTCAATGGGTTTTCCATGTGCTAAGTCCATAGCTCTTATTTATCGACAGTATTTCCCACGGGAGTTCCCCCCGCAATACATGTCAATGGATTTTTAGAGTACAGCTGATGAACATATAGTTCACACACTTACAGGTTGCAAGCCTGCTAGTGTTCCACAGACCATCTAGAATAATCCATGGTTGTCATCCATACTCTGCTGAATGACGGGGGCCAACGTTTTGGTAAGAGCTTTTCTCATATTGCACCACTCACGCCAACGTTTGGGTAAGGCTTTTCTCATATTTCACCACTCACTCTCAACTCATGATCTATATCACTGATCATCTCATCTATCCAACTCACCTTTCATCACACACCCACTATTTAACTCATGATCTATATCACTGATCATCTCATCTATCCAACTCACCTTTCATCACACACCCACTATTTAACTCATGATCTATATCACTGATCATCTCATCTATCCAACTCACCTTTCATCACACACTCACTATTTCATCTACCCATGTTTTACCCGACATTTTTGTAGATAAAATACATATACAGTTTAAAATTATTTAAAAACATGTATAAATCATTCCTTCAATATCCATCTCAAATAAACAAACAATATATATTCACATAGCACATATTTTATATAAAATACTTCATATCTATGTGTAAGGTGAAAGTAACTACACACTCACTTGATTTAACGATAACCGGGCAGCACTTCGTTGCCTAAAACGATCGTTTCTAATAAAACCGGGAGTTTTATTGAGAAACCGAGCTCTGCGAAGGTCGGGCTTCGAAACCGAAAAGATAAATTTGTCGGGCTTCTCGGGCACTTCGTGGCGTATGCCGGGGGTTATACTTGATACCGAGGCTTTGGGGGGTGTTAAAATGAAAGAAATATCAAGAAATGGGCTAAAAGTGACAATTTTCCAAAATATACCCGGGAGGTCTCGCACCCTCCTATTTATAGGGGCCGAGGCTGCTGATCGGACGGCTAGGAGGAAGCCATACGGCAGCAGATCCGAAGGGTGTTCACGTGGCTCGCACATGCGAGGGTCCGGTGTCGCCTCCTGATTGGACCGAGGTCTAGTACGAGGCTTCGGACGTGGCGTTATGGGCGAAGCTCGGATGCATCATCAGAAGGGTACGAGGCAGCTCCTGATTGGCCGAGCCTTCGGTCCGAGGAGAATGTGACACGCGTCGACAGGTGGCCTCGGATGACTCAGCAGTTCGAACACGTGGCACGATTTGGGCGAGGGTGACGTGGCCGAAGCCACCTATGCGAAATTTCTCGATTTTTGTGCAAAAACTTCTAAGATACATAACTTTCGCATACGAGCTCCGTTTTTGACGTTCTTTATATTCACGCGTAGGTAAAATTACGCTCTACAACTTTCGTTTAGACTTCGTCGGCTAATTTTGACTTTAATTTTTATTATATTATTTTTAACAGACCGGGACAAGAAATCCGTTAAAAATTCATAACTTCTTCATCCGACGTCCGTTTTCGTCTGTCTTTTTACCGTTGTGCTACTATTGACGAGACCTTCGACTCTCATTTAGGTCGTGTCGGCTAAAAATCACTCGATCTAAAATTCGAGTTTTTAGCTGTCTGCTGCTAAGCTGAAACTTCGAAAAATCATAACTTCCTCATACGAAGTCAGATTTGGGCGTTCTTTTTATACATACTCTCGGTTTAACGAACACTACGACTTTTGTTTAGATCACTAAGGCTAAAAAGTGGTTTATCAAAAACTCACTTTTTACGTCATTCGGCACCGTGCCGGTTTTGTCGCGAAACTTCGACAAGTCATAACTTCTTCGTTATAACTCGGATTTCGGCATTCTTTATATATTCGTAATCCTTGTCACGACCACTACAACTTTCTTAATAAATATCGGCTTTATCTAATATTTATTTTCGACGCTCATTTTTATTCTTAATTAATTAAACTCTAATAATTAAGCATAAAACACATAATTTTCACATAATATTCACATAATTCCTTTTCATTTCTTCTAAATGAGTTACAAAGGTTAACCTAGACTATTATGTCAATATTAATGCCTAGCCTAGAAACACAGGCGTTACAGCTCACGTACGTTGGGCGTATGTAGCATATGTTGGGCATACGTGCGTGATCCACAAACCGTAATTTTTAGGGTTTAAACCCTATATAAACATCATTAACTCTCCAATGCTCACTCCCTTACCAGGCTCCAACCCTTATTTCGTCCATTGCAACCCTAATCTCTTGTGTGTGTTCCTTTGAGCTTGAAAGTGTGTGTTTGTGGTGTTTTTGAAGCAAGGAGAAGAGAGAAGCACCAACTTGGAAGATCAAGACCACATATATCCAGGATCACCTCACCTCTAAGCTTCATTTTGAGGTATAAAGATATGAACTTGATGATCATATCACTAGATCGTGTTTATGTTAAAAGTTTATGTTGGATCACCTCACCTCACCTCTAAGCTTCATTTTGAGGATCACCTCACCTCTAAGCTTCATTTTGAGAAGCACCAAAAGGTATCTTAATGGGTTAAGAAGCTAAGGTTTTAACTCTTGGGCATTTGCTAGCCATGCAACACCATAAAGTTGGAAACTTTATGGTGAAGGACGTTAGTTTAGGGTCAGATCAGAGAAATGGATGAAAAGGCTTAAAGGAATAAGCTCTTAATAGAAGGATTAATGGAAGACCTCGTACGTTGGGCATACAGATTGGTACACTGAGCGTACTAGGTCAACCTCACGATTCTGGTCAAGGGCTGAGTACGCCCCGCGTTCAGGCTGGGTACGCCCAACGTACTCAGCTGTGTTGACCAAAATTTGACTTTTGACTTTTTTACTTTGACCAAGTTTGACCTAAGGGCATTTTAGGTAACTTGAGTGGTATTTGAGATTGGTGGTATTTAGGTGACCAATTGAGCTGTCATTTGGAGCTGTGTTCTATCAGAGATCTTTTCAGACTGAGAGGTGAGTTTTCCTCACTGTACTTTCGAGTCGAAGGCACCAAGGCCGACCTATTGGTTGATAACATGTTTCATACTATTTGTTGATATATTGAGCACGTAATAGACCTTTATGACTATGATAGCTGCTAATAGGTGTTAGACTGGTAGACCTGTAGGACTACATGTGATTATTGGTTGTATGATTATCTGTTTGATGAGTATGATTGTTGTCTATTATATGTCGACATGTTATGTGGGTTGAGACTACTGCTTTGTGTTTTCGGTCAATAGAGCGGGGCATTTCAATCGGGAGGTTGTGGGTCAAGGCATTCTAACCGGGAGGCTGTGGGCCTGGGTAATCCAACCAGGAGGTTGTGGACCAAATATGTGGTATGCAGGGCAATCCAACCAGGAGGTTGAGGACCCAACATGCTAAATCTATGTATATTATATGTTGTGTGATGGTACGTTGGGGGAACTCACTAAGCTTTGGCTTACACATTCAGTTTATTGTTTCAGTTATTTTAGAGGATCGTGGGAAAGCGAAGGCCTGATCGTGCATATCTTCCTATTTTCATGATATTGGTTTTTGGGACACTCTGATATGACTTTACTTTTGAAACAATGGTCTTTTGTAAGCAATTATGGATAATGGTTGTTTTTTTTAATTTTAAATTTCTATAATTTTTGGAGCGTTACATATCAAATACCGAGGAATAAGCAATGGAATATAATCGTCAAAGTAGAAGGGATTCTTCAGGATTGTTTAAGGCTATTGTAGATTCTTCATCAATGTCAGTTAAAGAAGCTCTAGATAATTGGCTTAAAGAAGGAAATGATTTGTCCAGGTGGGAGATATCATTTCTGATGCCTGAACTCCGCAAGCGAAGGAAGTATTCAGAGGCTGAGGCTTTTCAGGTGCCTTAACATAATCATTTTGCATTCTACCAGTTGAAACTTTAGTTCATATATGTTCTCACTAGTTTTGTAATATATAATTTTTTTTTGTATTTACATCGGTTTTGTAGGTGTTAGAATGGTTGGAGTCACATGAGAAGGTAGAATTTGGGGAGAAATATTATGTTCAACGTGTTGATTTAGTTGCAATGGCATGGAGTTTACAAAATGCAGAAAACTACATCAAGAACAAGATTCCTGAGTCTTTTAAAAGAGAAGTTTTCTACCAATATCTCTTAGCTAATTGTGTTCTCAACACTAACACAAAAGAAAAAAGCAGAGCAAGTCTTCAACCAAATCAAAAACCTGAAACTCTCTATATCCACTTTTTCTTGAGATCAAATTCTTCTTTTATACAAGAGAACTGACTAGAGAAAAATGGTTGATGCGTTGTTGTTAATGGAAAAAGAAAACATCAAACCATCACTTTTCACTTGTAAATTATTAATAGAAACTAAAGGCCAATCTAGTAACCTTGCTAGAATCAGACAAATCTTGAGAATATGAAGGGCGAAGGGTTGGAACTTGATTTAAAGTTTCAATTTGTATTAGCTCGAAACTATGCCAATTTAGGTATCAAAGAAAAAGCCAAATCCGTTTTGAAAGAAATGGAAGGAGGCAACCTGAATGAAAACAAAATGGTATGTTTTAAAAGAGATTGGGAGGTATGCGAATCCGATCCCCAAATCCATGAGTGCATGAATGCTATTGACGCGTTTGGAAAAGTATACAAAATTAAGGAAGCGGAAGCAATGTTTGATAAAATGTCAAAAAAATGGAAGCAACTTTCAGCAAAACATTACACTGCCATGTTGAAAGTGTATGTGGATCATAAGTTGTTGAATTAAGGAAAGAATGTAGTGAAACAGATGGATGAGAGTGGGTTTGGAATCGGGCCTAATAGTTTGGATGTACTTGTTAAGTTTTATATAGAAGTAGGGGAGATTGAAAAGCAAATGCAATGTTGAACACGGGTTCACCTCGGAAAAAGGGAAAGCCAATTTTCGCCATGTATGCGATGATTTTGGATGAGTATGCTAAGAGAATATATGTGTGTGTAATGCTGAAAATACTTTTGAGAGGATGCGAGTTGATGGTTATGTTTTGAAAGCCAGGCAATATAACTCTCTTTTGCGGGCGTATATAAATGGTAAAACTCCGACATGGATGAGTCATGGATTGGTTTTTTCCGAGGGCCCCGCCTTATATTGGAGATAAAAGTATTGGATTTTTATAGCATTTTAGTTTCTTTTTTGTCCATTTGTGCTTTTCGGAAAGTATTGGATTTTTATAGCATTTGTTTCCCCCCCCCCCCTTTTTGTTCACTAGTGTTGGCTCCCGTTTCTTATGTTAAGATCATCTATGGACCAAATTTTTCAAAATAGGTTGGAGGTACAACTATCTACATTTAACCTTCTAGTTACCTTATTCGTGTGAGATTTTGGGTATTGTGTATTTGTGTAAATAATTCATGAAGTCTAAGCCCTAAAAAATCAATGATCAAACAACAAACAATCTGAATGAATGTCATCCCATCCTTATTATTAGTTTTTTTTCTTTGACATTAGTCTGTCTCGCTAATAACAAAATCTCTACCATCTAGAGATGAGCATGGTACTGGATTGGTACAGACCCGAAAATACCGAGTACCGAAATTGGTTAAAACGATACTAAGTCTCGAACTGAACTATCGTTATCGATATTAGTAACAAGTACAAACTGGTTTTCGGTACTAGTATCGGTACCGACGGTACCGAATCCCGAATTTGGTGATTTTAGAGTACCGACGACTGTCCCATATTAACATAAATGGTGCCGGTTCAGTATCGATGTTGGTCGGGAATTACAGTAGTCTTGCTCACCCCGACTACCATCATTAAATAAGGATGACTAGTAGAATCATGGTTGTAGGATTCTACTTGGAATTGTGACATTTTAAATTTTGTCTTGTAAATGCGTCTCCTCTTAGTTTGGTATATTGTTCGTCCTGGAAAGTACAATATTGTCCCAATTAGGTATGGATGAAACTTTTTAGGTGATAAGACAATGGCTAAAACTCCTTTTCAGTCGTAGTGTAAATTACTTGTGTGAGTGTAGTCTCGAATATCATTGTTGCTCAAATCGACCATGGCCTTTTAAGCCGTGTTAAGTCACTTCACCTTGATAGATAAAACATCTTGCTTGAGAAGAATTTTTAGCATTTGTCATCAAAAACAAACAATTGTCTCGCTCTAAGGTGTTGTTTGTTTTGGAAGTGGTTAAATGTCTTTTGTCTTTTTCTATGTTTGCGGAAGAAGACGTGCACTTGAGAAACGTTTACCCGTTAGAAGGAAAAAATGCTCAAAAAATACTTTTGTAGAAAAATTCATTTAACTTTTTTGATGTGGTGTTATTGTTACATTGTTACGTCACCAATCCAAAAAGCTTAAATATACTCAAAGTATGAAAGCTTTTCATATGTCATACAAACTTGTTTAAAGTAATATAATGGTTTTTGTACAAATCGATTAATTTTAATCGGATGAAATTCATATGGGTCTACCATAATGGTTGAAAAAACTCAATCAAAAGCCTGTTAATTAACAAACTCTCTTCAAAAAGCTCATATATTTGTGGATGCTTTTAGTGTGACTTAACGGCTTTAAAAAATCCTTAATGTAAACGCATGCACGACCATAAACTCATAAAGCTTCATATTTTTTTTTTTTGAACGGCAAATCTAATCTGCCATAAAACTTCAAATAGCCTTGACATTGATTAATGATTAGGGAAGTAATTTTTCAATCGCCTCAACCTTTGCCGTTCAACCGCAATGCTTTCTTGGAGAGTTTGCAAGTCAAACAACCCCTTTTTGTGCCATGAAATGATATTTTTCCTAATTTCATATGAGATTTTTTTTTTTGAATGCACGCTTTTAAGAACGAATCCAAATTCCATAAACATTCGGAAAATCATCTCCAGAAACAATTTTCGGCATTGATTAATAGTTTCCAAAAAAAGGTCTCCCAAGTATATATATGCTATGCTATGCTACTAAAGCTCATGTGCTCAAATGCTGGAGTTGTAAAATCTTTACGTATTGATCTGAGTTCCAACCTTTATACAAAAATATTTAAGTGCCAAGTTCTATTGGTATTTTGGAGACGATTTTAGTCGGTTTTCAAACTTATATATGGTCTCTCCACTCAAGTTTCAAAAGAAACAATTTTTTGAATAATTTAATTCCAACTTTTTTGTCGCACTTGTGTGAGTTGAAAGGACCCACAACTAGCCAACCCAACTCCTCAATCGAGAGGGAGGGAGGGTTGTCATAAGGACCGGTTTGTGATGGGTTTCTAATGAAATCTAAACCTTTTAGGGTTAAGATATTGGGCGTAAGACTCTTTACTTTTTTCATTTCATTTCAACACCACATCATTCTTCATCCTCCTTCATTTCCTATTTCACTTAGGAAATTGTCGCCTCTCACCTCTCGTCCATTAAATATGCTTTAGGATGTTGTACGATACAAGTGGGAAAAAAAAGAGATAAAAGTGAGGGAAGAGTGAGATGGGTTCTCACCGTGGGAGGGGAATGAGTGCGGTGGAAAAGAAGGAGGGGGCAATGTTCACTGCACCTCACCGCTGTCCAGCTCAGCTTACCACTTGGTGTGATAAAACCACACCCCATAGTCTTTCAGGAACTAGTTTTTTTTTCTTTTTTTCAAGAATGTGTACCCATTGACAATTTTATTTATATCTTGTTACATTTTGTTGGAAATATATAGCTAACATTTGTATATATCATTGTAAAGATGTCGATTCCACCAAAATGATAAGTTCGTTTACTGGAAATATATAGTTAACATTTGTGTATATCACTGAAAAGATCTTCTCGATACCTCCAAAACGAAACCAGTATTGATATGGAAATTTGGTTTTTAAATTCTCAACCAATATTCAAGATGATGTAAACTATGTGATTTTATTCCTACTATATCTATGCATGAACTAAAATCTATGAGGTCCGACCCAATAACCAAGGTGAGGAAGTTGTTCAAAAACATATTATATTTTCGTTTGTACGTCACAATATCCACATTAAAAAGAGAGTAAACATGTGAAGTGTGAACATTGAAATCTTTCCATTTGCCACATGTTCAAGAATGTTAAAAATAAAAGACTTAGATGCATAAAAAGGTTAAATGGTCTTTGGTAAGATAAATGACAAGATATTAAGAGTGTCTCTAGTAACTTGAGGTATGAAATGGAAACAGAAATCAAATACATGGCCATTACCTCACTAATCAAGCAAATCAGACACCGCGGTTTTCTTAAACGCATCAACCTGCGCCAGCTGTCCCACCAACGACTTACTCGGGAACACATTATCTGCCTTCAACCGCTCCCTAAACCCATACGCCGGAACTTTCGCATTTATATACGCTTGCAATAGCGAATTATACTGCCTAAACCTCGACACATACCCATCTTGTCTCATTCTATAAAAAATCTTTTCAGCATTATGTACATCACCTCTTTTAGCATACTGATCCAAAATCATCATATAAGTAGCAAACAATGGCTTCCCTTGAATTTGCTCCGAAGCCTTTTTCAAAACCGAATCCGCCTTCTCAATCTCCCCCGACTCCAAATACAACTTCACCAAAGCATCCCAAGTCAAAGGCCCGATCCTACACCCGTTATCACTCATCATCTTCACCATATCTTTCCCTTTTGTCAACATTTTATTATACGCATATACTTTCAACATCGCAGTGTAATATTTCGCCGACAATTGTTTCCATTTTTTCGACATTTTTTCAAACACCGCCTCCGCTTCCTCCACTTTTTTTAATCTCCCGAACGCGTCAATCGCGTTTAAACACTCGTCGAGTCTCGGGTCGGATTCGCAAATTTCCCAAACTCGTTTCACGTCGTCTTCGCTTCCGAGTAACGCGTATACAGGTAACAAAGACGAAACTACCCTTCGGTTTTCTTTAAGATTGTCGCCTTCGATCTCTTTTAAAACAGTTTTTGCTTTATCTTTTATACCCCCGTAGATATAATGTTTGGCTAAAACGATTTGGCATCTTAAATCGGGTTCCAACCTTTCGGTTTTCATGGTTTCAAGAACTTGTTCCATTCCCGCTATGTCGTTTGACTGGCCTTTAGTGTCGATTAATAATCTATATGTGAAAAGTGATGGTTTTATGTTTTCTTTTTCCATTAAGAGTAGAACATCAGCTATTTTTCGTTTGTCTGTTCTTTTGTATAAAAGGAGTAATTGGTTGCAGGAGAAAGCGGTGATTGGGAGTTTGAGGTCTTTGATTTTGTTGAAGATTTGTTCGGCTTTTTTTGTGTGGGTGATTTGAACACAATTAGCTAAGAGAGTTCGATAAACTACTTCACCTCGAAAAGCTTCCGGAATCTTCTCGATGTAGCTTTCGGCTTTTTGTAATCCACGGGTTTTCGCGAATAAATCAACACGGGATGCATAATCTCTCTCCCCGAATTCTACTTTTTCTTGTCCTTCCAACCATTCTGATAGCTGTAAAATTGGTGTTAATGAGTTAATAAACAATAAGTTATTACAATAAAAGAAAATTAATGTGTTAAAATACCTGTAAGGCCTTCCCAAACATCCTTCGCCTTCTGAGTTCAAACATTGCACCTGATATTTCTGATCTAGATAGATCATTTCCGTCTTCAACCCACTTATCTAGAGCTTTTTTAGCAGCAACCATTGATGAAGAATTTACCATAACCTTAAACAATCCTGAAGGACCTCTTCTTTCTTCACCTTTAGTTTCTACAGCTTCTTCTTCTTCCTCGTTATCTGATAAAGTCAGCTCATTTTGAGGCTCTTT